CCTGTGAGACAGATGCTATTATTATCACCATTTTATAGATGAAGAAATTGAGTCCTAAAGAGGTTGCACAAGGAGGTTGGTGGCACAATGGATAAAGCTTGGAATCAGGAAGACCTGAGTTCAAATCCAGCCTCAGATGCTCACTAGCTTTGTGACCTGGGCAAACAGTTACTTAACCTCTGATTGCATCAGTTTCCTCAACTATAAAATGAGAATAAGAATAGTAACTACCTAGCATCTTTGTTACGAAAATCAAGATTATACTTGCATAAACACTTATCATAGCACCTGGCACAGAACTGGAGTCATATAAATGCTATTCATACACTCCCTCCCAAAGTCATACCATTAGTATTTGTCTAAAGCAAGATTCAAACTCAAGTCTTTCTGACTTCAGGTCCAACACTTTATTTGCCACCTAGCTGTCTTTCTAGAGGTGTTTCTTAAAGTTCCTACCTTAGGATGCCATCTTCATTTCACACCCTGACTTTACCATGTTTCAAGACCTATTATGGGAATTAATATCTTGTACAAAGTCTTCCTGCAATCACCACCATTAGAAGTGATTTTTATATACTCTTACTTCCTATAGCACTCTGTGCCAATCATATTGTATTTATCACCTACAGCTAACACACACTACCTAGTTTTTTAATTATCTGTATGTATGTATGTATATATATACGTATGTCTATATACACATACACACACACACATACACACACACACACACACATATATCTTATTTCTCCTACTACAGTAGTTCTTCCAGGACAAAGTGTCTTTATAGCTGTTATCCCCACAGCAGCAAACACATTGCCTTGAATATGGACTGGACTCAGTATATACCCAATGAATAGATGATTGGATGAATTGTTGACAAAAAAAAATCAACCATACAACAGAGATGGGAGGAGAATTTGATGGAATCTCTAAATCCTTTGCTGACTATGCAGGCAGAAGTGGCTTTTCAATTTCTAGAGTAATAACTCTAGCTGGGCTTGATAGCATTGGCCAAGTGAATTATTTATTAAAGAAGTGCCTGAATGGGGCCACCAAAAGTTGAAAGCAATCTGGGTGATTTGGAGTAGGGCCCTGAAATGGGGGAGGGGGGAAAGAAGGTAGAGAATGGAGAGGGATGAATAAGCATTTTTTCCACTTCTTCGATTGTCTCAAGTACAGCTGTAACCCCTAGTTTCCCAAAAGCTCTGGACTCAAATAGGCTGGTTCTGATCCTGAGGGCAGAATCCCCAAAGCAAGGATTCTTAACTTTTTTGCTGTCATGGACCCCTTTGGCAATCTAGTGAAGTTCATAGATCCCTTACCTGGGGGGAATTTGTAAGTTCCTTAGAATCCTCTCCTGCTCTCAGAAGATCTCTACTAGTTTATAGAAATACCCTTCCTCAAAGGGAAATTAGGGCAATCTCAGGAAATACCCCTCCCCAAAAGAAAATCTCAGGGCAGTCACAAACTAGCTGTACTTACTTGTAGATAGAAACCTAAGAAGGGAAAGGCTGCTGGACAAAAGAAAAAGATGACAAGATAAAATTCAGACTTTAAAAAGTATCCTTGGAAAATGATTGCTAGGCATGGGGAAAAGGATCCCATAAGAATCAAAATATTCATACAGGCACAGCAGAACACTGAAAATAAAGCAGATGTCCAACAACTGGGAAGTGGCTAAAGAAATTGTGGTAAATGAATGTAATAGGAAATTGCTGCACCATAAGAAAAAATAAATATGAAAAATTCAGAGAAGGACAGGAAGATTTATATGAACTGATGCAAAATGAAGAGAGCAGAACTAAAAACATACAGAATGATTACAACAATATAAGCAGGAAGAACATTAAAATGAAACCACCTGCTGTGTAATTATATTGACTAAACCTGGAGAAGAGCTGAGAAAATTTAATTTCTTCTCTTCATTACAGAAGCGGAGAATCATGAAATATTCCATATATTATCAAATGCAGTCAATGTGTTGGCTGGTTTTGCTGAGCTACCTTTTTTCTCCTCTTCGAATATTTTTTTATTATAATGTATGTCTTGATGGGTCGGTTAGGAGGAGAGGAAATATTTAGAATGATGTAACAACAAAAGGCACTTATTTGTCTTGTCTCTCCCTTTTAGAATATAAGCTCTTTAAGAGTATGGATGATATCACTTTTTGATATATATATCATCAGCACTTAGCACAGTGCCTGACACAGAGTAAACAGATAATGCTTTTTCATTCACTCATTCATTTAATTGCATTTGAAAAAAAAAACAGTTTATAATACAGAGAGAGAGAGAGAGACACACACACACACACACACACACACACACACATACCCTCTAACTTTTGTAGATTCAGTATAAGGCTTGCCATGGACAAGACTCCTGGTTATTCAGTACCCCAGGAGTCTGGGGGAGCTTGGCCACTGCCAAGCAAAAGCAACCAAGCACATGCCCAATAGCTCAGACACATAGAACCCTGCCAATTCCAAGATCCATATTCCTGTCACTACTTCTATTATCTTGGAGATTCAAAGGCAATGCAAACTCATCTCCCCCCATCACTGGTTGCCATATGGAAAATTTTCTCCCATGACCATTCCTGCCTGAGGAATGATCAAGAAAAAAATGGCCCAGGCTCAGGAGCTCCAGGGACAGATCGGACAAGTGGATGCAGAGGATATTTCCGCAGTGTAGTGAATGAGCCAGCTTTATGTCATCATGACTGGCCTAGAAATCACTCAGAATAAAAGATTCTAATTGCCTGATTGATTACAGGATAGCTTGTCATCCAGAAAAGCTGAGATGGGATAGGCCAAAAGAGTCAGAGTGAGCTAATCAAGGCTCTCTCTCTCTCTCTCTAGATCCACATAGGTTCCTCTTGATTTCAAAATCAGAACCTTTGGAATCTGCCCCCAAGAGAAGTGTGGAATCTGATAGTAATGCTTTATATTAGAGAGGCATCAATTTAATGGAAAAAGCAGTGGATTAGGAGTCAGACAACAGCTTCTCTCCTAAAGAAGGGAATTGCGGAATAGATGACCAGCTCTGAAGTCATGATCTACAGTCCGAGTAGGGACTAACTAGCCATGTGACCTAGAGCAAGTCACTTCAGCTCTCTGAGTCTCAGTTCTTTCATCTGAAAAATGGAGAGAATATCACCTGCCTGACCTATCTGCTTTATATGTAGGATTAATAGGAGAGGCAGAGGCAATTTATGTCAAAATATTGTGGCTCTACAGATGTAAGACACAAAAATAAATGTCAAGCATTTTACAAGTCATAAGGTGTTACATAAATATGTGCTATTATTACTTTTAGGTAGACACTTCATGGGTTGTAAAAGTACCTTCATCTTCATTATCTCATTGGATTCTCTCAAACAGCCCTATAAGATAGTACAAATATTAACCCCATTTTACAGATGAGGAGACTTAGGGCTATAGAATCACAGATTTAAAGACACAAGGGACCTGAAATGACATTTAGTCCAACTCTCTCATTTTGTTTATATGTCTGAAGAGACATAAACAGATGATGAAGCTGAGGCAAAGAGGGTGACTTACCCAATGTAGTGAATATATGCTGGGTTCACTCTCCTAAAGCAAGGCATGATATATTTCCCTCTAAGGGTTAGGGGTGCCCCTAAGGTACTGGGCTGGGTTGTCCTTCTCCAATGCCATCATCTCAAGCCTCCATTCTGGGTGTGTTTTTGCTCTCCCAGTTAGCACCCCAGTTACATTTAACCAATTAACTTGAATTAGTTTTTATAAAGAGATATTTCCTTAGAAGATTCAGCAGGAACTAAAGTATAAACATTTCCTTCCAGCACCTCAGGGCACACTCTCCCCCATATCACATCAGTCTCTGGGGAGAATGGTCTCAGGTTTAACACAGTTTCTAAGTAGCATAGATCCTACCAAGTTCACATCCAAATTTGGCATTACTCCTGAATGAATTCTGAAAGTTTCTCCTTGCTCCTCTGGGCATTGGTGACTGGGTTGGCTATAAAATTCATCATGGACTGAATCCCTAGATTCTTAAACCTTGGATAGCTCTCTTTCCTGATCTGTTGATGTGTACAAAGTTGTAGCTTTCAATTTCCTTCATGGTGTCAGCCAGGAAGAAATCCTATGGATAAGAGTTCAAATCAAGAGAGGGGCCTAGGTCAAATACTGTATTTTGAATGTACCCCCAGGCAATTTAAAAGGCTTCTCTTTACCACAGGGTTAACAGACCAAAACCAGTTACAGAATGTCTAACACATGCTTCAAAATCTCTCAAAGGCACCACAACTGTTATATGTTAGACTCCCAGAAGCAAGTTCCTCATCCTCCTCCACATGGAGAGTTGCATCAGCAACCTTCTACAAATGTTCATAAGGACTGAGTTCAGTGGCCAGCCCTCATTGCACCAATATCACAGAGACAGAAAGTTTCAGGGGCAGAATTTGAACCCAAATTGTCTGATTCTAAACCCAGTACACTTGCCACTACACCACTCTGTTCTGTCTCACAAGCAAAGTGAATTGCCCAAGGTGACACAAGTGGTAAATAGCAGAATAGTCATTCAAACCAATGCCCACTCAAATCCTTGTCTTCTTACTAAGTTCAAATGTTCCCTATCTTTGCTGTTACCTAATTAACCTATAAAGTATACCAAATAAATGTTAATTGACTAAGTAGGTGAAAAGGGGATGAAAGGAAGAGAAGGAAGGGAGAGAAAATAAAAAAGGAAAGGAGGGTAAAGAGAATGAGTAAGGTTAGAAGATAAGTATCAGAGGAAATAAGACCAACTCTTGAGGAAATAATGGATTGTCTGGATTAATAAACTAAATAAAATGTTCTACACTTGGCTTTATTTTTTAAATCAACTTCAGTAGAAATTGTTGATTTGAATGTGCTAGATTTGAAGTCAAAGGATCCAGATTAAAATCCTGGTTCTTCTACTTACTACCTGTGTGACCTTGGATGAGTCACTTAATCATTTCTGACTCTTGGTTTCCTCATCCATGAGTAAAATGAGGAAGTTTGATTTCATGATCCCTTTTAGCTCTAAATTTGTAATCCTACAGGATGAGTAAAGGATCACTCTATAGCAGTTTATTTAAAACTGGGTTGGACTAGCTGAAAAAGATGTGGGGGGGGAGGGCTGCACAGGGCTAGTCAGGAAACTGCAGGTTCAGTGTAATCCAATAGAGTGACATGTGATCTTGTGCTACATTAAGAGAGTCATAGCTTCCAGGAATACGGAGGTGATAATTCAATTGTCCTCTGTCCTCATTAAACCTCATCTGGGGTATTGTATTCAGTTCTGGTCATCAGGGTTTAAGAAGTACATTGATAAGCTGGAGACTGTCCAGAGGAGGGCAATTAGGATGAATAATGGCTCTGAGTCCTAGTGGATAGAGCACTGTGCCTGGAGGCAGGAAGACTGGAGTTCCAATCCAGACATTTACCAGCTATAAGACCCTGGTCAAGTCATTTAACTTTTGTTTGCCTCAGTTTCCTCATCTGTAAAGCAGGAATCATAATGGCACCTCCCTATTAAGGTTGTTGTAAGGATCAAATGAAATAATAATTATAAAGTGTTTAGCATCCTGGCACATAGTAAGGACTATATAAGTGTTAGCCGTTACTATTATATGAGCACAATTGAAGGAGCTGGTGATGTCTAACCTGGAGAAGAGAAAACTTGGAGGAGATGGGGTGGGGGTGGGGACACGTTAACTATCTTCAAATTCTGAAGGGCTGTCGTGTAAGAAGGATTCACTTTGTTCTGTTTGGCCCCAGAGAACAGAACTAGGAGCAGTGAATCAAAGTTGGAAGGAGGCACGTGCAGGTTTGATGTCAGAGAAAACTTCTGGTTTCAAAGTAGGATGAGCTGTCTCTGGAGGCAGAGTTGCCCTCATTGGAGGTTTTCAATCAGAGGCTTCATGGATGACCTTTTGACTGGCTTGCTTTAGTGAGGATTCCCTTCCGGTTTGGGTCGGACTACTTGGTTCTGAGGTTACCTCCAACTCAAAAATTCTGTGATTCTGACTATTAATTCCACTTTTTTTACTTTGCCCCTTTTACAATTAATAGCTTTGCTGTATGAAAAGGAGATCTGAATCTGTGCAAGGCTGAGGCCACAAGGATATTTGATTAAAATAAGCTGTCTCTTGCTGCAGGCCTGGGATCGATTTACTCCAGCATCATGCAAAGGTTGAAGTTGAATCCTGGGTCTCAGGTGCCAGACTGAGCTGCTTCTTCGGGTGAGTCTCGTGTGCTTCCCAGTAAGTGATGGATTGTGGTTCTAGCACCTGGACCCATCATGGCAACAGCGTCTCTGAAATCAGCCGTCAGCTCTAAGAGAAAAGAAGGGAGACAGAAGGCAGTCAGGAATAGGGGAGTCTGGAGGAAGTGCAAACATGGTGGAGGGACTTTGATGATTCTCTTTTTGTTTAGGACCAGCCCTCTCCCTTTCTCCAAAGTCCAAAGCAGAGCAGAAAATTGTGCTTGGAGGCTAAACTTTGCCTACACTGGAGTGTGCCCAAAGTGACTGTCAGGTTTTGGAGAATGCAATGAGAAACGCACACTCTAAAGCAGATACTGCTTTGAGGATTATGGAGCCACATGTGGTTTCCCAGATCATGCCCAACACAGGAGAAGTGAATGGCCGTGGAGGGAGGAGGAACAATAGCAAGACAGAACAGGATGAAAGAGCAAAGAGAGGTGGCATGGTATAGAGATTGTGGCACTGGATTCAGTTAGGAAGACATGAGTTCAAATCTTGACTCAGACACAAACTCTGTGACCCTGGAAAAATCACTTGATCTCCTTTAGTCCTCACTTCCTCATCTATGAAATGGGGGGGGGGGGGCTGTTCTCAAAGGTCCCCTCCATACTCTAATTGTGTGATCCTCTAAATTGAAATTTTTCCAAGACATAAAGCACCTGGTTCTACCATTTTTGAGCTATTTGACTTTGCAAGTAAATGCTTGGGAGTCTCAATTTTTTATTTTTTTTTTAAATGGGAGGGATTGGAGCTGGAAGGACCTACCTTACAGACCAAGAGTCCATGAACTTGTTTGTTTTAATATTTTGATAACTGTGTTTCACTATAATAGGTTTTTTTTGTAATCCTCTGCATTTTATTTTATGCATTTAAAAACATTCTACTACAAAGAGGTACAATAGCCTCCCCCAGACTGCCAAAGTGGTCCATGGCACAGGAAAGAATCCCTGGACCAGGTGAGCCATGGTTCTTTCCAGTGCAAACATTTTGTGATTGAAGTTATGGAGATTACTACCAGTATGTGGCTTAGCAAAGTTACAGACTTATACCCTCCTGGCTGGCTCCTCTAGTGCATTCCAGATAGTTTTTTTTCTGACCCCAATCTCCAGATTTATTTGCAGTCAACAATGGGCACACCCCAACCCAGCCTTTTCATTTAGTCACTTGCTAGCTGCATTGTAGAGCATTTTGGGAAAGCCCCTAAGGACATTACATAATACTCCTTTGCTGATCTTTTCACCTTAAAAAAAAATAACTGTTGTCTTCACATAGGATGTGAAGAAAGAGGGAAGGGGAAGGGGAAAGAAAGGTGAAGAGAAGAAAGGATAGGACAGAAGAAGAAAGGGGAAGAAGAAAGGGAAGGAGAGGGAAGAAGAAAAAAGAGAGATGAGAGGAGAAAAGGTATAGGGAGAGGGAAAGAAGAAGCTGAGGAGAGGGGAGGGAAGAGAAAGGGAAGGGAGAAAAGAAGAGAGGAGAGGGGAGGGGAGGAGAGAGGGAAAGAAAAGAAGATGAGGAGAGGGGAGGTGACAGAAAAGGAAGGGAGGAAAGAAGAGAGGAGAGGAGAGGAGAGGGAAAAGAACCCATTAAGGGCTCTCAGTGTTGTTGGGTTTTTTTTGTGGTGTTTTGCTTTGTTTTTTAACTCAAGCTCTGATGAGCCTATGTATTGAGAGGAGTAAATTACTGTTTAACCCTCGAGAGGCCCTGAGATTCAATAAACTTTGACCTCTGGAGGCAATGTTGAAGAGAGCGCCAAGCTCACCTGGAGGCAGAAATGTCTGAACCAACTTCAGTGTGACCAGGGCTCCTCTGTCTGCCTATCCCTAGAAAAACTGTCCTTGCAGCTGCCAGGCTGGCAGAATGAGAGCTTTGAGGGAAATGTGTGGAAGGGTCAAAGGCCTGAAGTCTGCAAACAACCTTCTCTGCTGACATGGAGCAAAGCATAGCTGTCTGTTTGACCTTGATGTGGTGACACTCATGGGATGCAAACCAAAAGAATCCCCAGAAATTCCTGAGGTACATTATAGACTGGTACAGCTGAAAGCCTGGGAAGAGGACAGGACGGGAAGGAGTTATTTTGTCTGCCACCCTCCCCTCCTCTCCCTTGCCTGAGCAGCATTTGGGCCTCAGGGAAACAAGAGAAGAAGCTTTCGTAGCCTCCCACTGAGCTCCTACAAGTTGGAGAAGGTCCCACCAAGTCGCCCCTGAAAGTTGGTGGAAATGAATGTTGAGATGACCTGTTAAAAAGATCTGAGTGCTCCCATCTTCTAAAACGGTCCTTGTAGATCATCTAGTCCAGAGGTTCTTCCCCTTTTTTTCTTGGGAACCCCTTTGGCTATCTAAGGAAGTCTATATGACCCCTTCACAAAAATAATGTTTTCAAATGCATAAATACCTAGGATTATGAAGGAAACAAATTACATTGAAGTTATGAAAATTTTTATCATTTAAAAAAAAAAGTTCATGGGCCTCAGGTTAAGGGCCCCTTATTCTAGTGTAACTCTTTCATTTTCCAGATTAGGAAAGTAAGGCCTATAGAGGTAAAGGGTCTAGCCTGAGGTGCACAACAGCTAGTTCATAAAAAGACTAGACTAATGGTCTAGCCTTGGTCTAGAGACCCAAGACTACTAATAAAAGCTCACATTCATACTGTGCTTTCAGGTTTAAAAAGTACTTTGCATACATGCTCTCTTTCGATCCTCCCAACAGCTCCGGGAGGCAGATTATTTTTATCACCATTTTACAGATGGGGAAACTAAGGCTCAGGAAAAGGAGGTGACTCACCCATGATCACCCCTTGATAGTATATGAGGTGGTATTTGGACACTGCACCACCTGACTCCAAGTCCAGTACTCTACTCCCTTTGGCCCACCATCTCTCACACTCCTAACTACCTGACTCCCAATCTTTTTTTTTTAATTTAATATTTTATCTTTTTCCCAACTACATGTAAAAACAATTTTAACATTCTTTTTTTCAAATTCTGAATTCCAAATTCTCTTCCTTCCTCCTCTTTCCCCCTCATTGAGAAGACAAACAGGAGCAGCTAGATGGCACAGTGGATAGAGTACCGGCCCTGGATTCAGGAAGACCCGAGTTCAAATCTGGCCTCAGACACTTGACACTTACTAGCTGTGTGACCCTGGGCAAGTCACTTCACTCTATTGCCTCACAAAAAAGAAAAGAGAAGACAAGCAATTTAACATAGGTTATACATGTGTAGTCATGCAAAACACATTTTCATTTAAGTTATGCTGTGAAAGAAAACATGGGAGAAAAAAAGAAAAATAAAGTAAAGAAAAAGTATCCTTGGTCTACAGTCAGGCTCCGTCTTTTCTCTCTCTGGAAATGGACAGCACCTTTCATCATAAGTCTTTCAGAATTGACTGACTCCCAATCTAATGGTCATTGATTCCCTGGACAAATATTGATTGAACTCCCTCTAGGTGCAGGGTCCTGTGCTAAGTCATGGTGCCTCCCTGTCAGTGGGTCCCACCTTCTTGATGTTGTCCTCCTGAACATAATACTGTTCACAGAAAAGGAAGTGGAGATCCTGGCTAATACTGGGAATTCAGTGCAATAGGTCAGGTTAATGCAATAGTATGGTGCCTTAAGAGAAATATAAAGGACACACGGAACTCTGGGAAGACATCCAAAGTGATTCAAAGGGAGGGGAAGGAAATCAGAACTACATGCCCCTGGAAAATGGCCCTGCCAAATAACAAGAAGAAGAAGAAGAAGAAGAAGAAGAAGAAGAAGAAGAAGAAGAAGAAGAAGAAGAAGAAGAAGAAGAAGAAGAAGAAGAAGGAGGAGGAGGAGGAGGAGGAGGAGGAGGAGGGGAAAGAGAAAGAGGAGAAGAAGGAGAAGGAGAAGAAGGAGGAGGAGGAGGAAGAGGAGAAAGAGAAGGAGAAGGAGGAGAAGAAGGGGAAGGAGAAGGAGGAAAAGGAGAAGGAGGAGGAGAAGAAGGAGGAGGAGAAAGAGAAGGAGAAGGAGAAGGAGGAGGAGGAGAGG